GCTCTGCCTTCATGTTCATTGAATCGGAACACAACCACGAATCACAAATGCATGCTGAGTCCTGCGAAGAGGACGTCGGAGCCGCCGTCGACATAGTGGCCAATGAGTCCGGGCTGGGCTCCATTACCTGAGTTGACAAGACACACTTATCCCAAAAATCAACAATCATAGCAAATATAGCCGAAGAATCCAACATCTCTTCCTCCTCAACCGTCTCATGATCACCCACTCGAATGCCTGATCAGATTATGTATATATTTTAAAAATGATGAGCCATGTATATATTATTGTTATTCTTCTTATAATATTATGTGTTATTATTCTTACTCCCACCACCTGCTTCATGCAGAGTCGTATGGATGATCTCCTTCAGGAGGCGGATCTTGTCGCTCCTGCGACTTCGAAATCAGCATGACATAATAATATAATGGGATAGAATCATGGAAAGGTTTTGGCTCAACCCCGTATCCTCGCTGCTTTTGTCCGCATGGCCAGCTTGAAACCATGGGTACACGTGCTTCGCATCACACCGGCTTGATACCCGGCCCAGGCCTACCAAGCATCGAGTTATAGGAACTGTTAAGAAAAGGTTTCGCACCATGCAAGACATATATGTATACAGGCCTTCTGAGTCTTCATAGTTCCCTCACGCAGGTGGTACCGTTTGCTGAGGAGGAGCAGTACTGCCTGGCACAGCTCATTATTAACAACAGATGTTATTGGCAATCAGAAGCTCAGGCTGCACCTTGAAAACAGAGAACTTGGGAATCCCCACGGCCGAAAAGGTTGCATAGAAGGAGGCCAAGAAGTCAAAGTTGGCCTCGACCTGACAACAATTATTATATTATATATGAACGATGAAAGGAACAGTAGCTGAACACCTGAGACACACACCTGCTCTTGGCTGTCCGGGCTTGGCGGCACCATCTCAAACACGTTCCCTGCCTGACAGTGATATACAATCATATGGCGCATTATATTTACAAACCATATGCATGATGATGGCCTCGTCTTTGCGAATGTTCGGCAGCCGATCCGCTCGAGAGAGCAGCCAGCTGTTGACAAGATCCTGCAGCGGCCGCTTGCGGATTCTTCCGCGCGGCGACACAAAATTACGAGCACTTGCAAATCACAAGCATGGCAGTCAGCTGAATATATCTCATTGCCGCAAGCACAGCCTGCACTGCGGCACAATATATTATTTCATTATTATTATTGCCGCAAGCACAGCCTGCACTGCGGCACAATATAATAATTATTCAATACTATTATTATATTACCGCAAGCACAGCCTGCACTGCGGCACAATAAAATAATTGTATGTCGTCGTCAGCTTGTCGTCATCAGACTTGTTATTCGAAGTTGAATCGAATGTCCTCCAAGAGTTGCCCTTGCAACTCAGCCAAGGCCTCACGCTCTTCGGCGGACTTCATCAGCTGAGCGGCCATGCCCTGGTTCAGCATATATATATATATATATATAGGCCATATATATATATATATATACATATGTATATACATATGCAGCTATGGGCAATTCACTGATCACACTGCTTGGCCTTCGAAGAAAGGAGATCGCAAAGGCCCACGAACAAAGATTGCTATGCTTCGAGCACTAGATTTGCATGGTGTAGAGTTGCAATGGCCAAGAATTCAATTGCAATGCACAAGTGCAATCAAAGCAATTGCAATGCAAGCTCCCCAGAATAAAACATTGCAGCAAAAGCAGGGTCACTAGAGGGCTTCGAGCTGGATGTCTTCGATGCAGAAACTCGCTTCTGACCTCGTGCACACGTTGTTACATTGTAAATAATCATAATACGAGAATTGCAATAGCAAGCTCGATATCACATGCCGAGGTCCAGGCATGTCCCCCACTTGTTCAGCACACGGCGCATGTCGACATGCAGCACAGGAAGGGGCACACATGTTCATGATATTATATATTATAATTGTATCTATATTAGTATTTTCCGTTTTATTACATAATAATGCTCTTATATATAACCGTGTATATAACACATACACGTGAAAATGTGCATTGTATATATAGCATTGAGTATATTGTTAAATGTTATTATAATAATATTATTATTAGTATATATAATAATATAATATAAGGGCTGCAGTGCCTGGTGTTGTTGTATATGTAGTGTTACGTTAGAATGTATGCAAGAATGGTACATTGTTGCTATGTGAGAAGCTCCAATCCATAGTTATCGATAGTTGGACAGTGCAAAGCCTGCAAAAATGCCATGCATCAGAGATGATGTGTGTTCCAAGAGCATGCTTTCGTAGAAACCACAAGTCGCCCCGTAGAAGTATTGAAACTTAGCACACTTGGCCAAGTGCGTCAAATTTGAGCACTTGGCCGAGTATGCTAATAATGCATACCCGGATGGCCAGGGAAAAGGACATACAGCATCAGCGTTTTGTGGGGATACCCTTTCTTGAGCTTCATAATCAGGAGTTAATATGGGATATCCCGATCCCTATATTGGTGGCCCTAAAGGTGGTGACGCCCGTGGAAGAAACGATTGCAGAAGGCAAGATGTCTCGTGGTGCCGAGGATGATGGCTACAAGTTGCTGGGCCTTTCTTCCGACATGCTAGTCGTAATAGCAATAATAGCCATAGTAATGCTACTAGTAATAGTAATAGTAATAGTAATGGTATATAATAGTAATCGTAATAGTAATAGTAATAGCAATAGTAGGTTTAGTACACTGTAGTTCAGAGAAGGAACAAAAAGGCGTAATAGTGCAGGGCTTGCAGAGCAGCTGAGGTTTGGGGACATCAGCCGGGGCATCGTCGCCAGTGGGAAGCTACGTAGGGCTTTGGGACATTTTATATTTTCTCTTATTCGGCTTAAGGGGATCTTACCTACTAATATTTTTCAAAGGCTTTAAAAGCGGCTCCTAGGAAGGCCACCCGAGGCGCCACGGCCGAGGAAGTCTACAAGTTCGGCGACTTCACTCGCGGCTTCATCTCCAAGCTGAGCAGATGAGCTCTGAAGTTTCAGCCTCATGCCCTGAACCCTAAACCCTCAACCCCCAAACCCTAAACCCTAAACCCGAAGGCCCTAAACCCTAAATCTTTAACCTTAAGCATCCTCAAGCCCCAACCCCTGAGCTCTGAGCCCCAAAACTTTAAGCTTTCAGTAATCCCGTAGCCACGTGGATGACCCAGTGCTGCAGAGTTTCACCCGGAGCAGAGCGAAACAGCTGAGCGTCGAATATAGGGGCCTTGGTAATTACCTAGACTATATTGGGGGCTCCGTATCATAATTTTAGTATAATGAGCCCCAAAACCCCATTCTACTTATTCAGGCTGCTATATTAGCATGTAGGGTTTAGGGTCTAGGGCTTCGGATTTAGAAATTAGGTATAAGGTTGAGGGTTTAATGCTTAGGGTAGGTGATGTTCCAAAGTGGGCAGGGACATAAAATCCTTGTATTGGAGTATCCGGCCTGCTGCAACTTAAGCTCGAAGAAACACGGAACTCTCAACCTACCAATCTTAAGCCTAAGCCTAAACCAAACCTTACACACCCAACGGCTGAACCTCAAATGCTAGAATACAGGTGTCGGAGTTTATGAAGAATATCCCTCGCATACTCATTATTCTAGTATATCATAATGCCATAGTCGACCCTTGATACTATAATACATCTACCATATTACCCCAATCCCCAAACAGCCGTTGACCCCACACCTTAGACACCAAGCCCTGAACCCTAAGCGCTGAACTGTAGTTCTTGAATCTGAAGCATTTCCGTCGATTCCTTGGGCTAAGGTTTTCTGGGTTCTTGTTCTATGGGAGTTTCCGAAACTTAGGGGTACCTGATTTAGGGGTCCTTATTACAAGGATCTTACTATTTAGGGTGCTATATTAGGGTCCCCCATTTTCGGAAACTCCAATATAAGGACTTCAATTCAAGTTACCATACACAAGGGAAACAGATTAATGACGAAAGATCCCTGTTTTGGTCATTGACAAAGTGCTGAACCCTACGCCTCCACACCCTAAGCCCTAGCCCCAACCCCCCCTTCCCCCCCACCACAAAAAACGCAGCAAGAGGCTCTAAACCCGAGAACCCGAAACCCCAAGACCCCAAAACCCTAAACCCTAAACCCCTACTACCAAGAAAAGGAAGTGTAGCAAGAGGCCTCTTTAGGGCCCCAAGGATAGAGAGATCTCAGGGGTCGATGCTTCGGGGGTCGGTTTTCGGCTGTAGGGTTCAGGGATGCGTAGCGCTTATAGGGGTTATTTAGGGTTTAGGGCAGTTTAGGGGTTTAGGGTTTTAGGGTTCAGGGTTTAGGGTTTAGGGGTTTAGGGGTTTAGGGTTGAGGGTGAGTTTTCGCTTTTGTCAGAGCGGATTGTGTCGGAGCCGGTTATGAACCCGATCTCACGCTGGCTTTGGTCTAGCCGAATTTCTCCCAGTGCGCCGTCCTGCTAGATCATGACCCAGGTTAAGGAAGCTCTACACAAACAGGTCCTCAGTTTCGGAGACGCTAATCCCCAGCAGCACGTCGTAGCTACAGATGTGCTGATGGTGATGGATTTGGTGGTTGGAGTCGCTGGTTTAGGGTGGATCACGGTTTGGGGTTTTCCTTTAGGTCGTTCTGGAACCTTTAACCCTAAATAGCCTAAACCCTAAACCTACGCTGGCGGCTTCGGGTTCCTTGGCAGCGGCTGCTAGGATTTAGAGAACGTTGTAAGCCCCTCTTCTCACAAACGTACCATGATGAACATGGTCGCTCCGCATCACTCTCCCCCCATCCTCGTGCCTCGTGCTCTTTGAAGAAGCACGAAGGGACATCCGAAACCAAACTATAAGACGTCAGTCTGGGTTCTAGGAGTACCGCCGTTTTCTGCACGCCTAAAGTCCTAAAGGAGAATCGTCTTCCCGACTACAACAACAAACACGTCATGACAATAAGGATGCCGATGAAGTGTTTAGCTGTCAGTCTCAAAGATGTCGCTTGTGCGAGTTGCAACAGGAATGCTTCGATTGGGACTGGCCGGAAGCTTTGCAGAAGATTATGGGCATCGGGAACAGGGCCCAGCCCAGAGAAAAACCTAGAGATTTTCATATTTGTGGCCGAGCTTTTAGTTTGCACCTGCTACGGCTTAGGGTTAGGGGTTAGTGCGACATTGAGGATTCAGGCAGCGGCGAGCCATCTTGGCCAGGGGCCCTTTGGTAGTCTGCTGCCTGGGCTCCTGGATTCTACAGCTCAATATTTATACGGTAGACCGGGGGAGACTGTATAACTAAGTCCCTAAACCCTATAAACCCTAAACTACATAACTAAGTCAACCCTAAACCCTGCGCGAAGTCCTTTCTTGGTGTTTCGAGGGTTTGTGCTTCATGTCAACACGGTTTAGTTGTTTAGGGTGTAGGGTGAGGTTTCTGCAAGCAAAATGCAGGCTGGACCCCGAATTGGATTTTCAGTTTTCGAATACGCTGATTTCGGAGCACTTCCAGGGACCCACGAAATAAGGGTTTAGGAAGGGAGCGTTGCTTTGAGCCCGGCAGTTTTGCTGTTCCTGAGGGTCCATGTACCCACATAGTATCTACTTTGCCCTTTTTAAGTAAAGTACCTATATAGGAACTACTGCAATGCCAAACTATCTAATGTGCATACATGGACCCTTAGGGTGTTCAAAGGGTTGAGGGCGTAGGCAGTCTCGGGTCCCGTTGCTTCATGAGCTGTGTTAAGCCTGGGTTCTCATCACCTCACCTTATCTAACGTTCATATTGCCAGTCCTTACTTTCTCCGACCCCCCCATGCAGCTTTGCCACCCGATCTTCGGGTTCAGGGCATTCGATAACCCTCAAGGCCCATGCACCCAAGTAGTATATACTTTGGCCTTCAAGTTTTCTCTAAAAAAGGTACATTGGGCCCAAAGTATATTACTATCTGAGCACATGGACCCCATTAGGGTAAGGTCCGAAGTCCTCAACACTGAGCTCTAAGACCCACATCCTCAGCCCTACTGCTTAAACCCAAAGCTCTAAGCGCTAAACCCCACATCCTTGACCCCAACTTCTAAACCCTAAACCCCTAAACCCTAAAGCCTAAAAACTTCTCAACCCCAATGCCGAAGCTGAGGAAGAGGACGCGGAGGTTTGGACGGAACGCATCAGCGGAAGTCTGCAGGACGGTGCTTTCGGACTTGGGGCTGTGGGTTGCTGCGTTTTTATGGTTTTGGGTATAGGGTTTTGGTGTTTCAGGCAGGTCGAGGGCGTAGAGGCTGAAGAACGCTTGCTGAAGCACTTCTCGTTGTATATAGATCACTGATCACTCTGTATATAGTGAGTATGTAAGTGCAGATATGTATGTGTGTGTGAGTATGTTTGTGCATATTCAAGTAAATAGGTAAATCAGGAAGTATGCATGTACTTGCGTACGTAAGTGGTGAATGTGTAGGTTGCATGTCGTATACAGGTCTTGGCGAAAGTAACGTATGCACTTCAAATAATCTCTGTGGCGTATGTATTGTATACGTTCTATGTAATGCCTGCAATGTATGTATCGTACGCAATGCTACTGTACACGGTGTATACATTTCTGTCTGTCTGTCTGTCTGTCTGTCTGTCTGTCTGTCTGTCTGTCTGTCTGTCTGTCTGTGTGTCTGTGTGTCTGTCTGTCTGTCTGTCTGTCTGTCTGTGTGTCTGTGTGTCTGTGTGTCTGTGTGTCTGTGTGTCTGTGTGTCTGCGTCTGTGTATGTATGCATATATGTATGCAGCTGTATGCTTTCAACTGGATGTATGTGCCTGCATGTATGCAACAGTATGTACATATGTATGTTTGTCTGTGTACTTGCATTTACAAGACGCATGTGCACCGGCGTCGTAGGGTTTAGTGTGAGAAGAGGGTCTCAATGTCCAGTAGGTTCCATTTATATAAGTCGCCCCTGAGCACAGTTCTGGAATCCTGAACCGCCGGCCAGAACCCCAGATCCCAGTACGTAATAGTAGCAGCAGCAGGAGTAGCAGTAGCAGTAGCAGTAGGAGTAGGAGGAGGAGTAGTAGTAGTAGTTGTAATAGGAGATGTAGTACGTAGTAGTTGTGGTCATAGTAGTAGTAGTAGTAGTAGTAGTAGTAGTAGTAGCAGTAGTAGTAGTAGTAGTAGCAGTAGTAGTAGTAGTAGTAGTAGTAGTAGTAGTAGTAGTATTAGTAGTAGTAGTAGTAGTAGTAGTAGCAGTAGTAGTAGTAGTAGTAGTAGGAGTAGTCGTCGTGGTAGTAGTGGTAGCAGTGGTAGTAGTAGTAGTCGTAGTGGTAGTAGGTAGTAGGTAGTAGGTCGTAGAGTCGGTAGTCGGTAGCAGGTAGCAGGTAGCAGGTAGTAGGTAGGTAGAGTCGTAGTTGTAGTAGTGATAGTAGCAACAGTAGTAGTGGTAGTGGTAGTGGTAGTAGGTATGAGTAGAAGTGGGTCATTGAGAGAAAAGCCATGCCTATATTGAAGCCTAGCCCTTGCAGGGAGATTCCTGGATAAGTTCATGTGCACATGCTTCCCCCCAAAAACCCGCAAACCCCGAACCCTTGACGCCTGCTTCTGCGTATATAGGAGCCTGAGGAAGGGCCTAGGAATACGTACCCACTGCATGAAAACGGCTCATCTTATTCCGCATATAATGGTACAATACTTTTGGACAGGATGCTTTTCCTGAGTCTTTCACTTGAAGGATCATGGGACTTAGTAACTAGGGTTATAATCAGGTTAATTATGCTTATAACTACTTATAACTAAGGTAACTACATATAACATGACTTACTAAGGCCCATGATCCTCCAAGCAAGGTTCTGAGAGCTATCTCAGGCGCACAGCCCCATTCGATAAACTTCGTTGTGCCCTGAACCCGCAAAATCATATCTTGCACTGCAGTCGCTACAAAAACAGGCCGGCTATGGTTGTTTAAAGTAATGACAACAGCAACTAATCCCTAAACTGCCCTAAGCCCTAAACACTAAGCCCAGAATGATGATGATAATGAGTAATTTCGTTGTGCAGGAGCTGCTCGGCGGAGATGGAAAAGAGTCGCAGCTTGCAGCGCAATGCCTGGCCGAATGGGCAGAGACCAGGTGCAGGATATTACCCCAAATCCGAAATGGGACCCTAATTCAGAGAACCCTAAACCCTAACCCAACACCATATAGTTTAGGATTCTCTGCATTAGGGTCCCTCTTAGGGTGGTATTGGGACCTAAAAGGGTGCCCTAATTTAGACAACTAGGTGCAGGATATGCTTGAACCTGGAGGGTTGGTTGCTCTGCAACCATACCATGACATGGTACAAATTACGGGGCAGTCGTGTTGTACTACGTGTATGTACAGAGGGTGCGGAAGCAGTACTACTCCTGATTACGCGCTGCCCTCTCTGTCACCATTGTCACTTATGTCTTAATGAGGGTTCTCCGTCAAAAGAATCCTCAAAATTCGATAGGTTCAGATGTAATCCCTCAGTCGTATCGCAGATCATCTAAGCGGCGCCTACATGTCCAATGCGTCAGGGTTTTGTTCCCAGGACTTATATATGGTTTCGGATTCAGTAGTAGTCATTGACGATAGGCCTGAGCGCGGTTTAGGCTCCTTCAACCCCGGAACCTATAATTATGTATCCTAAATCCCCAAAGGGTCCTACCGATACAGTAGAATGTAGGGTTTCCATATTAGGAATTACTATTAAATTATGACTTAGGGAAGTATTCCCCAGAACAGTACATGGGACCCTTTGGGATCTTAGGCCCGCAAGTGACTCATCGAACTGCGGCAGTGCGAGGTGCGACGCGAGGCCCGCATTGGCCACAGTCCTATCCGCAAATTTGGAGTTTTCCGTGTTCTTGTGCCCTGGCAGAGTCTATTCTTCGTTCCTTCAACCCTAAACCCTACCTTAGCCACCCAAAAACCGACATAAAACTTCTCTAAGGACCTATGTAAGGGAAGCACAATAAGGAACCCTAAACAGGTAGGTTCTGGTGGGTTTTACCCTAACCCCACTGTTTAAGGCTAGAAAGAGCTTAGCGCTCGTAGCGCTTCGAAGCCTCGGTTCTAAACCTAAACCCTGAGGCCGATCTGATATTGCAAGGCCGCAGTCCTGCCGTACAATCCAACTCGAATTCCTCCGAAAAAAACATGCCGGCAATGCACCACTATGGGACCCGGGGTCGCAGGGCGCCATCAGTTTTCTCACCCTGTGCGCCTCTTGAACGGCTTAAGATCAGAACCCTACCATTGTGTAGGGTTGAGACAATGACCTGGTGTCAAGCCCAAGCAGCTATGAGTGAGGGTTTCCGTTTGGGCTGTAGTTGGCTCTGTAAGGTTCGGGTTTTGTGCATCAGGTCTTAATGGGTGTCCTTCGTACCACCCCACCAGAAAGTCCAATTTTCCTCTGCTCAACCTGGGAACCCTTGAAAGCAGAGCTTTTCATTTACTAGCGTGGCAACAACGTCTCTTCTGCTGAGGCAAGCAACTTGCCAAGAAGCTTGCACATCCCCGGCGGCTCTTGCAGTGGCATACCCCTTGGCCATGTGCTGCCTCGGCTGAGTTTAACATAGGGGTTGGACTATTTAAAGAATAGTATCTCCCTACTGCCCGAGTTTAGTAAGTGTGGTATGATATCCAACAAAACACTGTTTTAGTTTCTATGGTCCCCTTTTGATGCTCTCCCATAAGCCCTGGCAGGCGCCTTCCAACTCTCTCTCGAAGGCTTGTCCTGAGAATTCTCGTTGCCATCGTCCTCCCCGTCACAGTCGTTATGTACCCAGAGACTCCAACATCCCTTAATTAAGGAATATTCCTTAAATCATATCGAAATCTCTTTATCTATGAAGGCGCCAATATCAGAGTCTTGACATTTCTGCACCGCTAAGAGTGCTGTCGTCATCTGCAGCTTACAAGCCGAGTCTAATTCCCCGTATCCACAATGGGCCACACAAACGCTAAACCTATAAAACTCTACTGCAAACCCCGTTCTCCCCAAACCGAAGTTCCCCCTGAACCCATGTTGGCTTTCATCTTGTTGGACTCCTCGAGTCAACCCCTGCAACTCTGAATCTCCCACACCCCCCGGAAGGATCCAAAAAGTAGATCCCTTAATGGGGTCCTATAAAGTAGCCTTAGTAGTATAGTGCCCCAAATTAGGGGATCTACTTTCTAGACTTTTGCCGGGGGTCTGTGGGCTGAAACCTTCATGTCAAACCCTAGACACTGCACTCCTTAACCCCGGTTCGGTTTAGGGTTTAGGGTTTAGGGTTTAGGGTTTAGGGTTTAGGGTTTAGGGTTTAGGGTTGCTCCCGGTTCACTTTACCCCAACACCTGAACCCGTAACCCCCAAAATCTACAGAGCCCTTGACCTTGCTGTGGGAGCCCCTGATTGAACCGCAAATCCCAACCACTACGGCTTGTTCACAACACCCAAGATCCTAAAGCCCTAAGCTCAAAGTTAATAAATCCCGAAACCCCCAAATCGCTATTTAACCCCTAAACCCCTCATCCCTTGCATCCCTTAGCGACCAAAAGCCTTTTTCCTACATGCCGAAAACCCTTCTACGGCCTCAAATCCCTAATCCCTAGACCCTAAAACCCAAAGCCACAGGCTTAAAGTTTGCTTCAGCCGCCCCTGGCGCCTCTCAGGCATGAACGGGTCCAGGGCTCTGGGTAACAGTCGGCTGAGGCTTCAGGGCTGGAGGTTCAGAGGTTAGGGTTGAAGGTTTAGGGGTTTAGGGTTTAGGGGTTTAGGATTTAGGGTTTAGGGTTGAGGGTTTAGGGGTTTAGAGTCTTTGCCGGGTTTAGAGTTCAGGGTTTAGGGGTTCAGGGATTGATTTAATAGGGGTTCAGGAGTTCAGAGCTTTGGGTTTAGGGGTTTGGAGTTTTTGGGGTTTAGAGGTTGGGGCTTCAGGAGTCTAGGGTTAGGGATTTCGGGAGGAACTAGCTCAGGGGCTCAGGGACCGAGACTTGGGATGGGCGTAGGGTTGTGAAAGTTTCCTCCAGGGTAAGGCGACTCTGGACTTCTAAAACTAAAACTGGATCTAAAACTAAAACTACTACTAATACTACTACTACCACTGCTTCTACTACTACTACTACTACTACTACTACTACTACTGCTACTACTACTACTACTACTACTACTACTACTACTACTACTACTACTACTACTACTACTACTACTACTACTACTACTACTACTACTACTACTACTACTACTACTACTACTACTACTACTACTAAACTACTACTACTACTACTACTACTACTACTACTACTACTACTACTACTACTACTACTACCACTACTACTACTACTACTACTACTACCTGCTACTACTACTACTACTACTACTACTACTACTACTACTACTACTACTACTACTACTACTACTACTACTACTACTACTACTACTACTACTACTACTACTACTCCTACTACTCTCTACTCTCTACTCTCTACTCTCTACTTTTCTACTCTCTACTCTCTACTACTACTGTCTACTACTACTACTTTCTACTACTATCTACTACTACTATCTACTACTACTGCTACATATTAACACTATTACTACCACTGCTGCTGCAGCTTTGCTGTTGGAGGCCAGACTGGTTCGAATGATGCAGACAGCGCTGGAGACATTCGAGCTGCCGGTCCTCCTTGCCCACACATTCTCGGAGACGGGGGGGGGGGAGGGGGGGGCTAGTGTAGGGCCTTAACATTTAGAAGGTTTTGTGGCCCAGTATGCTACAATTCTAGTAAGGAAGCCCCAAGAAAAGGGGGAGTGGACAATCAAGATTCCTCTCGGGGTTCTACAGAGAAGAGTTTCTATCAGTGGTCAACGTGGGGTTTCTAGGATGCTTGGGTTTAGCGCTTAGGCCTTTAGTGTTTGTAGGGTGTTGGGATTGTCCGGGTTGGGTTTCTGAAAACCTTAGACTAGAACACCGCATAAACTACGGTTCAGGGTATCGTGAAGATAGTTTTTGTCTGGAGATTTTGTGCGTAGCTAGGGCTTCTCGACAATTGTGGATGCTTATAGTGTTTCCTATTCTAGGGACTATGCACACACGCACACGTATGTGTATGTATGTGTATATATATATATATGGACAGATCGATAGATAGAGTAGATAGAGAGAATTAGAAAGAGAGAGAGAGAGAGAGAGAGAGAGAGAGAGGACAACACAAACGGTAGATAGAAATAACGATGGATAGATCGATAAGTCGATCGATAGACAGTTAGATAGATAGATGCATAGATACGAGATATACATACGCATATGCATAAGCTCCAAAAGCATTGATCCATATGTCTCCGCCGATCCTACACACTTATAACACAAACCAAGGAAGCTAATCCTGACATGCATTTTGTCCTCGCAGGTTCCCTTGCGAGGGCTCACGGAGTTGTGTGGTAAGGCTTCGGTTCCCAACTACCCTATACGTAACATACTATACAAAGCCTTCCGTCTATTTAGAGCTTGAGAGTTGTGACCCCAAAGGCTAAACTCTAAACGCTGCTACTCAAGCGAAACTCTTGTGTTTTGAACCTAAACCCCTATGGAAAAGAATGCCGTGATAACGTGAACGCCGCAATACACCCTGTAAGTGGTACATTCCTGGTTACAAGAGCCCCGGCATACGTCACACCTAGTGTTAAGAAACCCCAGCTATAAATTCGCTCAAAGCTCTATGAAACCTTTGTAGCATCCATGTAAATCCCTGGCAAAATTCATTGACAGCCCATCCTGATCCTTTGGGAGGAGCTCGCCCGCAAAAGATCCTCCAAGCAATTCCCCTAACTTGGGAACGTGTGCGAAGAAAGGCTGCTTCACAAGACACCCCTTCCGAAAGGGTTTTGTGGGATCCTCCAGAGGGACCTAAACCCAAAATCCCCTAAATCCTAGGGCCCTAAGCCCCCAAGGTCCAAACTGGGCTTTAAGGGGTTTAGGGTTTGGTTTTAGGGCTTCGGGTTTAGGGTTTAGGGACCCTAAATCCTGAGCCCCTCGGCCCCAAACTAATTGAATTCTTCGGGGAAGGACTCGCTTGCTTCGATTGGCGTGATGCGTGAAGCGAGCCGATGTACCGATGCCTCCACCACGGACACCGAAGGCCCGAAAAGTATCTGGTTTAGGCTGTTTTAACCTTGGGTTTCGGATCTAGGGTTCAGGGTTTAGGGATTTTGGGGGCTTTGGTTTTAAGTTTTGAAAGATGTAATTATGGTGGAGGCAAGTAGTTCTGATGGTTACGGGTTAAGACTATTTTGGATCATCTTGTGGTAGCCTGGACTTTAAAACTATTAATTCGCATGAATTAAACAGACCCCAGTCGCATGGCCCTGTAGCCGCAACAGCCAAGCGAGTAACAAATACTGGTATGAAGCTTGTGGCTGTAGGGGTTTATGTCTTCCTGTTTTGGGATGAGGATTTAGGGCTTTGGGGCTCGGGCTTTAGTTAAGGGTCTTGGGGTTTAGGGGTTCAGAGTTTAGGAGTTTGGGGGCTTATGGTTTAGGCTTTAGGGGCTTATGGTTTAGGGCTTCACATGTTTAGGGTTTAGGGCTTTGGGGTGTAGGGCTTTAGGGGCTTACGGTTCAGGGGTTCAGGGTTTCAAGGTCCTCCAAGTACCTTATATTGTATCTGTGCCAGGACAACCCTGGTGCCTGTGTGTGGAGTTACGGACCCGATACAAAAACCGGTTTTCAGCTTTTCAAGCCTGTGTAGAACCCGTATAGAATTCAAAAGCTCTTCGGCAGTTCCTTATCCCTACACCCTGTAGCCCTACACACCTAGGGCCCTAGACTCCAGTCCCTAAACCCTAAACCCTAGACTAACTCCCTACTGGGAGTCTTCTGGCTCATCTAGCCTTGTCCTCAAGGTCTTCCAGACGAGCTGTCTGGTTGAGGACGCCGTCGGAAGACACCGTCGGAAGGCTCCGTTTAACTGACAGGCCCGGTTGAGCAGAGATTTCAGGTTCGTTCGTAAGGCTTTCGGGTTTAGGTAAGGGTTTAGGGTTTAGGGGTTTAGGGGTTTAGGGTTTAGGGTTTATAGGGTTTAGGGTTTAGGGTTTAGGGTATTGGTTTGGCTGGTCTGGGGTTTCTAGAAGGCCTTTCCTCGCGTAAGTCTGCATCATCGCTCACATGTTGCTACAGGGTTTCTGGAATGTTACTCAAAGGATCATGGGACTTAGTAACTAGGGTTATAATTAGGGTAACTATACTTATAGCGACTTGCAACCCCAATTAAGGTACTGAAAAACCTTACTTACTAAGTCCCACGATCCTTCAAGTAGAGAGTTGGATATTAATACAGGGCTTGTGAAGGGTGCCTCGGGTGTTAGTATCTTTTTGTAGATGTCTAGTCCCCCTAAACCCTGAACTCTTAACCCTGACTACTTAGAGTACAGCCCCCAAGCGATGCTAACATGCTAGCTAACAGATTAACCGATACGGCTTCTATTCAAGCTCGCTGGATCCAACCCTTAAGCCTAAAGAACCCTAACCCCTAAGCCCCTATACCCTAAACCTCAAGCCCTAAACCCTAAACGCCCACGAATACTCATGATATACAAGGAATTACAGGGAATTCTTACCCTGAACCTGTGGGTGTTTAGGGTTCAGGGTTCAGGGTATTAAGTATAACCGAAACCCAACACTGTAGGGGCCTGGACCATTACCCTATAAGGCCATGTACCCAAATAGAATATTTCATGGTCAAACTTGATACTTACCCATAAAAGACCCCTGTTCTCTCTAAACCCGCCTAAACTGCATACATCACGTCTCACATTGGGAGCCTCCACCCACGGCTGCGCAGCCTGATGTAGAGGTTAAGGGTTCAGGTTCTGCGGGGTTTCAGGGTTGAGGGTCCGGGGCTTGGGGCTGCTTGCGTGGATCTCGAATAGACCAACGACAGGACAGCTTCCAGGGCTGTATAATGATGACAAACTTGGAGCATTCCGTATAGAATTACAAGATCATGCGCTCCTCCCCAGACCTGGTTCTGATTATTCCAGGCTTCTATGCGTTATTTGCAGCGCAGATGACTTTGAAACTTGTTTGTTTCGGGTGTCCGGGTGGTTCTACAATAAAACCCTAAGCCCAATGTGTAAACCCTGCTTTGCTAGCCTGTTTTGGCAACTCGGTACGGCCTAATTAGGTCTTAAACACCCGAACCAAGCCCTAAACATAACGCGGAACAAGTCACCTCGCACACGTGCACACAACCGCAACATCAACCTCGACGAACGATAACGACACCACCAACATCGGGACACTAACCACCACCAACACCAACAACAACAACAGCAGCAGCAACACCAACACCCACACCAACACTAACACCACTAACGCCACTAACACCACTAACACCACTAACACCACCGCCGCCACCGCCGCCACCACCACCACCACCACCACCACCATCACCACCACCACCACACCACCACCACCACCACCACCACCACCACCACCACCACCACCACCACCACCACCACCACCACCACCACCACCACCACCACCACCACCACCACCACCACCACCACCACCACCACCACCACCACCAAGAACAACAACAACATCAACATTTCAGTGGCACGCAGCAGGAAAGTGAACGACAACGACAACAACAACAACATCAACAACAACAACAACAACGACAACAACAACAACAACGACAACAACAACAACAACAACAAAACCAGCAGCAGCAGCAGCAGCAGCAGCAGCAGCAGCAGCAACAACAGTAACAGTGGCATTGCCATCAGCAACAGCGTAGCAGCAACAACAGCACGAAGAGGAGAGGAGCACGGACACGACTAGACACCAAATACCACACTGGTTGTATAACGGGAAATGGAAGCGATGACGACAACGACCATGACCAATTGACAAGAGCAACTCAGACAAAACAGAGACAACAACAAAGACACCAACAACTACAGCAACAACAGCACTATACCTGAACCCGAGAGCTCGGCACGCAAACCAGTAGATTATTATACGTGTGCTGTGGGGTTTAGGGTTTTTGGTTTCGGGTTGATGGCTTAGGTTCGACGTTTGCAGTTTAAGGGTACGGTTCCCGGAGGGTTTAGGGCTTGCGGGCTTCATTTACAGCTTGCGATTCAATGATGTAGAGGGTTCGAAGATTCATGTCGATGATCATGCTCCGTCATGCTCCCGAACATGGTAGACATATTCTTAAACGTAACACATCCAAAGCCCTGATTTCATTGTTGGGGATTGAGCCTGAGAAACCCCCAGGATCTCGATCCCTAAACCCCAAACCCTAACCGACCCCAGGCCCTCAGACCCTACCTGTAGCCGGAAAGACCTACCTTTTTGGGTTGCTTATTATGGTTTCTATATATAGTTCCTTAAAAAGGTAGGTCTTTTCGGCTACAGGTAAACCCTAAACACCGGCAAGCCAGGTCAGTATGTCAAGTGCTGCACCTCTTCTGCGGCACCAGCTTTATCTACTTGCACAGAAGAATGCGGGCCAGGAGCGTATGAGTCAGGATTTAGGATTTGGGGGCATGTTTAGTGGGCTCAGAGATGGTTGTTGCGGCCTTGGTGGCCAGACGTTAGCATCACGTGTTTGTTGGAAGCAGTCTTGCACATACTATCTTTTCATAGGTACGGTGAGCCCCTAATGCTAAACCCTATAACCCAAGCCTTGAATGAGAAGGCCGAAACCTTAAACCCTAAGCCCTAAGTCTTGATTGGTCTGCATGTCGTGGTGTTGCAACCAGAGGCAGTGGTTGAGGGGAGTATGTCGTTATACTTGTATTGCTGGTGTAGATGTTTAAGGGGCTACTGACAATCTCGCTTTCGTATGTTTATGATGTTGTCGTTGCTTTTGATAGTGGTTGCAGTTGCGGTTGTGGTTGTGGTGGTTGTTTGTTGCTGTTGGTTGTTGGTTGCTTCTGTTGGTTGTTGCTACTTGTCGTGGTGATTAGAATATCAGTTGGCTTTAAAGTAATCCCTATACAGGTACTTTGGGGCCAAGTTATATACTTTTCGGGTACATGGACCCTTGGGGTGATTGGCAGTAGTAGGGTAGCTTCAGCTAGACTTACTGCTGGCCGGATCAGCCGTTCAGTCGTCTCGTCGTGCTCCCGTTGGGCCTCGGATTCTTCGTAGCACGGTTTAAGGGTTTGGGGGTTCAGGGTTTAGGGTAGGTGCCCGGGGGGCAGTTTTAGATTGTAGACGCCTCACAAGTAGATCTGAATCATGGTTTCGGCGGCTGTGAGGGGACTACATACAACCGGAAATCCGAAATCTTAGCCTCAAGCGCTGAAGCATGACTCCTAAACCAAACCAACCCCTGAAAAAACCAGAGGCGCCAAAGCCTCACACCCTCACTGGTCCCTCTGGCCTCTCGGCGTTCTGCCTATCCTTCACCCGACACGAAGCCATTTGCTTCCGGGTAGCGACGGGGGTTTGGGTGGCTTCGGTGCTGGAGTAAGGGAGATTGATTGGTAGTTGTATTCCATCGTAGTTCCTGTGCCCCCCCCCACCCCAAAACCCTGTTGCTGTTCTAACCACTGGGTATCTTAAAGCAGGGGTTTAGGGTCCTTTCTTTATGAGCTTGGCAGGGTTCAGTGCTTCAGGGTTGAGAATTCAAGTTGAGAAGTTTGAGATTTGGCTGAGATTTGGCATGCCTCAGGCGCGGAAGACCCCATGGGCTTGTAAGGGGCTTAGGGTTTAGGGTTTGAGATATGCCGAGGTTTAGTATGCTGGAGACCCCTGGAATGGACATGGTTTTCGCCGGATTCCTGTCTCTGCTGCCGTGGCCAAGCATTATTTTTAAGATTCCACCGCTGCAGATCCTGAGGTGGCCGAGCATTACGTTCGTGATCACGGGCTTGGGGTATGGGACTTATATAGACGTTGCCAAACGGTTTAGGCCTTAGAGTTTAGGGGAGCCTAGTGACACTTTTAATTTACCTTATGGTCCTGCAGAGGTACCTTTTCATAAATACTTTGTACCGAATCGGGATAGTTTCAGTTTCCCTTATTGTTTGATATAGAGCCCTCATTATACATAATTTTGGGGACTGTTGAAATCGACACCTACAAACTTTGGGGAGCCCTGCAGGCACAACCCAGTGTAGGGTTTTGGGGCTCAGGGTATCGGACATTTGGTTCAGGATTTGGGGTGAGAGGGTTAAGGGTACGGGTTAGGGTTTCAGGGTCTAGGGTTTAGGATTTAGGGCTAGGGTATTTGCAAAACGTAATTCGTGTATTTATTGCAGCCCGACGTTCCGCTGGCCAATCTCCTTCGGAGACGACTGCAAGGTCAGCACGCAGCTGGTCGACATTTGCAGCACGCCTGATCCACATATGCATTCAACTGTGGCGCAGCTTCAGGTTTTGGAGCTGCGGCATTCGTTGCCGGATGCAGCGCCGTCTTGGAAACTCTAGATAAAGAGCTCCAAACCCCAATCCTCTAAACTCCACAACCCTAACCCTTAAACCGCTTAGCAGCACCTCTAGAGAGGTGGACTGTCGTCGGGCGACCGAAATGGCCATTGCACTTTAAAGCAAAGAGAAGCTTAATTGCCCTGACCCCTAAAGACTCGAAACACGAAGCCTAAACCTGGTAAACTAGAGTCTCCTTAGGACTTATTTTTGGTTTCATATAAATCAAAGAGGACATTAAACACATTATTTTGAATATTCGTCCAAGGGGGTATAGTAAAACCCAAATTCAAACCAAAGCCGCAGCAGTTGGCTCTAGGCCCTAGACTTCGAGCCCTTAAAGGGTTTAGGGGTTTAGGATCCCTACTTAAAGGATCACGGGACTTAGTAACTAGGGTTAGAATTACGGTAACTTTACTTATATCCCCGATAAAGGTACTTATAACCTTACTTACTAACTCCCATGATCCTTTAAATAAGCCC